GGGGAGTGGGAGAGGGAGAAGCAGGCCTCCCGCCAAGCAGGGAGCCCAATGCGGGGCTCGATCCCAGGACCCTGGGATCATGACCTGAGCCGAAGGCAGATGCCCAACAACTGAGCCACCCAGGCGCCCCTCTCTCCAACAAATTTTAAGAAAAAGATAAAAGTATTGTATTTAGAGCAAAACAAAAGAATAAAAATTTCAAGGAAAAAATGAAACATTGAACAACTAGGAAATTCAAACTGTATTCCTTAGAAGGAACTAATTATAAACTAACTTCAGATAATAAGGATTGGCTACAGCAGGAATTGAATTCAATTTATTACTCTGTTAGCTAAGATAAATTGCATGCATGGCTTGAACCAAAAGTCCAGGGACAGCATGTTCTGCCAACTAGGAATGAAATTTACTCTTTAAAAACAACTCTCTTACACACTTAAGATTATGTCCACTTTGACTTTAGTCTCCAGATGAGCTGAGATCGATAGATTTCCAGCTTTCCAGCTTTCCTAGACTTTTTTTCCTAATCCCCTCATACCTTCTTCATGAAAGTAAATATTTTGGAATATGTTTTTTGATAAAGTTAAGCTTTGGAGCACCACAAACTGAGATTTAAGATTATAACTAAGATTTTTTTGCTCCCCCACATTGGGGGCCATATCACCTCACTGAGAAAATACAAACTAAATGACCCCTTATGTGGGTGTATTCCTATAGGAGTCTTCCTTTGCTTAGACAATATGCACTATGGCAACTTCAGATTTGTAATATGCTTTTCTTGGACCCAAACCTGGAACACCAAGAGGCATCTTCGTCAACATAACTGTCACTACAATAGTGTCAAGACAAGAATAGTCTGTGCTCAGCACTCTTCACATGTGCTTAACTAGTGAACTAATTTCCAGCAAATACATGCTTTATCAGCATTTTCTTTCTCTAGTTCACATAGATGCCCATCCATCTATTCATCCAGTCATTTAACGTTTAAGTGCCTATTGCTTGTTAAGGCAACGGGTATGCAGTGATGAGATGAAGTCTACCCTCATGGAATTTACAATCTAGTCCAACTTGTTCCTTCTTCTCCAACTTGTTCCTTCTTCTCCCTTATTTCCTGAATATAGAGTCCAGCCTTTATTGGTGCCATGGTCACAATGTTGAGGCTGCAAAAATTCCTTTGGAAATGCCTGATCTAGCCATTTTCCTAATCACTTTTATTTTTTTCAAGATTTATTTACTTAGAGCGGGAGAGAGAGAGCGGGGGCGCATGCACAGTGGGGAGGAGCAGGGGGAGAGGGAAAGGGAGTCTTAGGCCAGTTCTGGGCTGAGGGCAGAGCCCAATGCAGGGCTCAAAATCTGGAATGTGAGATGAGGATCTGAGCAGAAACCTGAGCAGAAACCAACAGTCTTAATGGACTAAGCCACCCAGATCCCCTTTGACATTTTCCTGATCATTTTTAGATGATTTAAACATGAAAACATCCCATCAACCTACTGAAGAAGTATGTATGCCATGGTGAAAAGAGTTGGTATTTAAAAGGCAGGTGGCTGTGGTCTTTATTCTCACTTTCTAACCAAGTGTGAGGCCACAGAGTTATTTCAGCTCTGGGAGCCTTGTTTTACTCTTTCATAAAAGGGTATAACCACATTACAGGGTTGTTGTGTGGCTGTAAGTTAAAATATTTTATACAGAACCTGGTTGGTGTATCATATTAATTATTACATTTTTTAAACATCTCTGTGTGCGACTTAAAGACTTTAAAAACGTTTTCCTGCAGTTATATGTAAATGGCCACGGTGAGCTGCAAAAACAAAAAATCTAAGGCAAGGAGACAATTATTATTTTTAGTTTCCTATTCAATCATAAAATGTCTTTCATTAGGCATCTTCTCCTTTTGAATCTTTTCCTTCAATTATGCCAAGGGTCTCGGAGCCTTAATAACGCAGCTGTGATACAGGTAACCGCTAGCCTCATTCAACTAACTGCAAATACTATATGCGGGTTTTTAAGTTTTAACTGATCATTCATGGGTATTAACCCAGCTTTCAAAAATTTGAATAATGGCGTTCATTCACGGCTGAAGTCGGATTAGTATGCCTCCGAGAGATAAAGTAATTTCTGAAATCAAAGGATGGCTTATAGGTTCAAATAAACTCTGGCTTCCTCCTTTCGTCGGAGGTGAACTAGCAGGTCCTAATTGGACCTCTCAACGTACTCAGGCCAGCAAAGCCTTCGATTTCACCCACACCATTTCCTCATTTCCCTTGGCACCCACCCCAGGCGCTGGATCGGGAGCCTCACCCAGGCGGCCGCCCCTCCCTCCACGGACGCCCGGAAAACCAACCGCACGTGGAGGTGCCGCCAGCGGAGCTCGGAAACTCCGGTGACCTCACGTGCGACCGTTTGCGATTGCGGATTGAGGAACCTGGGAGGGTGGGACGCGTCGCCGGAAGTGACGCAAGCCGGAAGCGGCTTTCTGCAGAGAAATTGGGGGCGCGGTTTTGAAAAGAGGTCTGAAGGGTGAATGTGAGTGAATAAAGGCCGGTCTATTTTCCAAACCAGTTCACAACGGATTAGCTTCTCAATTTTTTTTTTTTTCCTGTGTATTCTCTGCAACATGAGGGACATGGCTTCACAGTGATTTCCGTGAGCGTCTCTAAAGAAGGACCAAGGACGGGTGTGGTGGAGGTGAGGAAGCCGCTCTAAACTGGCTACGCTGAGGAAGGCGTGGATGTACTTCCGCAATCGCGAATATAACTTGGAAAGAGCGGCGCGATTTTCCTGGCCCTCTGGTGGTCCCGGCGCGTGTGGGTGGCTATTCATTGCTAAGACGCTGCTCACTGTTAATTCGGAAAGAGAAAAAAAATCACCGTTTTCCAGCATTTTTTTTGGAGAACAAAACAATAGGGAAAATGTCCATTTTCCCTAAAATATCTTTGAGACTTGAGGTTGAAAAGTATCTTAAAGAGGGTTTTATGAATAAGGAGGTAGGTAAAATAAACCTGTTAGAGGATATTTGCAAATTTTCAGATGTTTACACACGCTGGAGAAATGGGGGAAAAAAAAAACCCTAAAGCGAGACCTAATCTTTACACCATTGTTTACCACTCTTTTTTTCCGACTGTGAAAACTGCCTGTATCTTCCCGCGGGTATTTAATGTTTGCGAGATAAGAGGTGAATGAGGTCTACGTTTCAACACTTAACGAATGTGACAGAAGGGAAGGGAAAAGAGCAGTTATGTATGTGGCAGTAGGCATGGCACTGAAGGGGTTACAAGAATGAGGGAAAAAGATTCCTGTCGAGAAATTAAGTCCAGGGGAGAAGATACACCCGTGTTCTTAAAGCACTTGCTGTGGCACTCAGGTGAAAGGGATACTATAATGTGTTAATGCCTCTTAAATGCCACTAGTTGTGCTAGGTGATTTGCAGACCTTTACATCTTAATATTAGCAATCTCTCTTTCTTGTTTTTGGTAGAGATTTCTTCTCCATTTTAATAGGTGAGAGAGCTGAGGGTTCAAAGAGTCCTGTAGCTGACCCAAATTGACACCGCTATCAAGTAATAGGACTGAAATCTGAAGCTGAAGAGCTCAGGTATAATGAAAAAATACAGATTTGGAATCCCAGGTCTTTGATTTGTGTCCCTATGCTTTGAGTAAATTATTTCATACCATTTAACCTTAATTTCCTTTAATGTGGAAACTGAGGATGTTAAAAGTATTTACCTTACAAGGTTATTTTAAAATATTAACCATAAGTGAATGCAGTTGGTATTCTGGCACGTTAGTCCTCAACAAATACTCATTCCACGTGCTGTTAGCAGTGTCTAGCACAGAAGTCCTCAGCGAATGTTGTCTTTGATTGCCAAGCTCGTGCTCTTTACATTTTACTATCCTGCCTCTAGGCAACTTTGTATTTTCTAAATCTTTGCTTTTCTTATTCAAAGTAAAGTCTTAAGACTTAAATGTTATTTGTGTATGAAGCTATTAGTGAAGCTATGACTTTTTAGATTTGATTCCTACATTTTATTTCCAAAGATTACATTAAGGGTTATAGAGTATGGAAAGAGAAAATATCTTCTCTGGATTTCAAAGAACTAAAAATATAAGGAGCATATTAAGAGAAAGAGGCATTCAGCAATTTTTCTCAATTTTTAAAATGGTAAATATTGTATTATAGAAGATCCAAATGTCTGTCTTTGACACCATCTCTGCCTCAAACCCACTAACTGTAAATGATTTTACAAAAAAGCCATTCCTTTGTAAAAGTATTGGAGGTAAAGGTATATTCAGTTTTAATAAAAACAAACTAAACTTGAGAAAGTACTAATACTTTGAGGCTGGTGGATTAGTAGGCTGGCAGGTGGTTTATGAAGATGCTGTGAGGCAGGGTACGGTCAAAGATGACAAAAATGGGAAAATACGTGTCTCCTAAAGCTTCAGTTAATCACAGGGGGACTTGGTTTTTTGAGTCTTTAAATTTCCACTTCTGACAGGTTATCTTTGCTACCTGTCTTTTTGGATGATATTTGTTACATTTAAAAATACCATATTAAAAAGCTGATGTGGATGACCTTGGATGACAGTATCAATGTTACTTATTCAAATATTGGTGTTTTATTTATTTTTTTTATTTTTTTTTTTTAAAGATTTTATTTATTTTTGAGAGAGCGAGAATGAGAGAGAGAGAGAGTACATGAGAGGGGGGAGGGTCAGAGGGAGAAGCAGGCTCCTCGCTGAGCAGGGAGCCTGATGCGGGACTTGATCCCAGGACTCCGGGATCATGACCTGAGCCGAAGGCAGTCGCTTAACCAACTGAGCCACCCAGGCGCCCCCAAATATTGGTGTTTTAAAAGGCTGCTAATGAATTTGTTCTAGGTATGAGGCTAGCAAGTAAATAGCTGTACAAAATGATGTAATATTTGATATATTATAAATAGAATAAAATTATGAATTTATATGAATAAGCATAGCAGACATTAATATGTTCAAATGTTAATAATGCTTTGAAGTTGAGGCAGTGTTTTTTCCAAGCCCTTTATGTTGGGCATTTTGTTAGGTGTTTATTACCACAATTAAACTCCAAAACCCTGTGAAGTATTACATTCTGTTAGTGTTATTAACACACAAACAATACAGCAAAATGAAGTGGAACTGAACAATTGCTGAAAGATGTTTAATAAGAACACGTGTGTGCATAATCTGCTTAATATTTTTTGTTAATTTTTATAATAACATTGAAACATTAACTTGGGGCGCCTGGGTGGCTTAGTTGTTAAGTGTCTGCCTTCGGCTCGGGTCATGGTCCCAGGGTCCTGGGATCAAGCCCCACATCGGGCTCCCTGCTCCGCGGGAAGCCTGTTTCCCTCTCCCACTCCCCCTGCTTGTGTTCCTTCTCTCCCTGTGTCTCTCTCTGTCAAATAAATAAAAAATCTTTAAAAAAAAGAAACATTAACTTGTTTTTCTGTTTTCAGGTTGTATCTACTTTTGGGAAACAAGAAGCAGAAAGGAAATTTGAAACTCTGTTAAATCACTTGTCACATCCTCCATCATTCACAACTGTCAGAGTTAATACACATCTAGCCTCAGTGCAACATGTGAAAGATCTGTTGTTTGATGAACTTCAGAAGGTATGTGCAAATTTGCTATTATTTATGTCCATAATTGCGTTTCTGTGTCATGTTGCTCCCCACTAAAATCCTATGAATTTAAAATACTATTCCAATTTTACAAATAAGGAAATCGAAGATCTCGAATGTTAAGTTGTCCAAGTGGTAATGTTAGAGGTAATGGTAAGAACTTGAACCTAGCACTCCTGGTTCTGAATTTATTATAGTGACTGAATAGGTCACTCAGCCTTTCTAGGCCTCAGTACTTCGTCATTAAAATACATATGAAAATACATAGAAAACATTCTAACCTTGAAAGCCTGATTTTGTAATAATTTACCTAATTAGTATCTAAATTAAAAGCAAGAGGCAAGCATGATTAAAGGGCTTGTATTTGTATATTTGAGGCTGTTATTACTCTAGATATATTAAGAAGTCTTCAGAGAATTATCACTGGTTTAGTTTTATTTATTCTTTAATCTCATTACATTTATTTTTATTTATATTTTTGTTTTAAGAATTTTATTTATTTGGGGGGGAGAGAGAGAGCACGCATGTATGAGTTGAGGGGGGTGGTGGGGAGGAGCAGAGGGAGAGGGAGAGGGATAAGCAAGCTCCATGCTTAGTGTGGAGCCTGAGGCAGGGCTTGATCTTACAACCCTGAGATCATGACCTGAGCCAAAATCAAGAGTTGGATGCTTAACCAACTGAGCCACCCAGGTGCCTGTAATCTCATTACATTTAGAATGTTTGTCATACTATCTTTAAGAACAGTTTTATAAATTTTAACTTGTGAGTAGATGACCATGTTATAAGAACAATCAGCTATGGTATCTGAGTATGTGAGACCCAAACTTAGTATAATAAGACTTAGAAGAAAACTAATCTGATTTTGAGTTATTGATAGTGATAATTTTATTGAGAGTAATGTCATACTGCATAAAATATAAGCAGTTCCTCTAGGCAACTAAAATTATTACTTTTATGGTGGTTATGCATATGTTTTCAACTAGTAGAAAGGAAAGTGTTCTGAGGCCCATCACAAGTGTCCATAACTCATGCAGATCCAGATTATTTTGTTTTCTAACAAATTATTCCTAGAACCTAGATATTGTATTCCAGTCCAATGGGCCTATATGATCTTACAGACCAAGTATCTAGGATAAGGCATACAGAATCACTCTGGGTGGACTTTGAGTCCCTCAAAGCTTAAGAGTAGACAGAGAAGGTTGGGTCGTAAGCCCTCGATAGGCAGAGCAGGGAGCCTGATGCAGGGCTCGATCCCCATGACCTGAGCCAAAGGCAGACGCTTAACTGACTGAGCCACTCAGGCACCCTTACATTTCAGATTTCTTAGTAGCCATCTGTTAGGTAAGGTTGGTCTGAAATCTCCTTTGCCTGGAAGAAGCAAAAGTCAAAGCTGTTGACTTGGTAGATATATAGATTGCTAAAATACAAATTTTTTCTCTTACCAACTTGGAAATAAATTGATTTTAAGAGTTTTTCTAGGTAGTATATGGATACCACAGGGCAATGGAAATATCTATTATTGTTACTATTCTTTCATGTAGTATGTGAAAATTCATGATTTAAAATCCCTAGCCTACATGGCAGAGACTTGTTCTGAAATATTTGCATGTTGCTCACCCTTAGACTATAGTGTCCTTGGTATCCTGCTATTCTGCTTTTTATTCTGATAAGTGCAGTGCCCAGTTATTTTCTGCCAGCAACAGTGGTGTGCTGGTACATATCGAAAAACCCACTTTCTGGGAAAAACAACCCTTTGTAGCATTTGCTGATTTCAGTGGTGTAAATGCTCCCACTGTGGTCAAATCAAGCTGCCAGTGTGACCTTGAAATTTGCCAGAGATGCACATAATTGGTTCTCCTGAGACTGTGTGAGCTGGCCTTGGCACATATACTCCTGGTCATGCACCCATTTGTAGTCTGAAGACCAAGTATGATAGAGGATACTGAAAATCCTGAACTTTTGCCAAAAAGCATTTATTTCCCTCAGCAAAACTGACATGGCATTCAGTATTAGTGGTATATAATTTTAATAATCTCATTCCTTAATGTCCTATTCAGAACTTTTCCTTAGAAGTGTACTATAAGGGGGCGCCTGGGTGGCTCAGTCCTTGGGTGTCTGCCTTCGGCTCAGGTCATGATCCCAGGGTCCTGGGATCGAGCCCCACGTCAGGCTCCCTGCTCGGCGGGAAGCCTGCTTTTCCCTCTCCC